TGTACTCGGTTGGGAATTATAGCCAACACAAAGTTTAAATAAAAAATATTTTTTTTTGTCCTCACACATTCTTTCTCAGAGTCACTTTTTCTCCAAACAAATCTCTACTTTCAACAATTCATCAACTTATGGTTCCATATTTTAATTCCAATTATGTTCTATAGTATGTACCAAACAATAGCTGCCCTAAAAATGGCCCACATATTTATATGCTTTAATATATCTTGTCTACCACTCTTAGTTGAAGCTACAAATTCTATACAACCTTAATGCTAGATAAATAATGATTTAAATAGCAAAAAAACAAGAGCATATGCATAAGAATTAAGAACTATAGCATATATTGAATGTGAGGTTTGATTAGGGGAATATATACATTTATATGTTTCTTTTCCATAAGGCTAAAGCATAAGGAAAATTGCATTGTCTTATCCATTATGCATATGAATCTCACTGTAATCAAAAACCAAAAGTGATTTTTGTTGGAGAATCTAATGCTTTTTACTGTAATAGCTTCCCCTTCAAGTTACATAGATAACTGTTTTGTTCATAGCATCAACTGATATATATTACTCTACATAAGTTGCTTTAGGCATTGATGCCATTGCCTATGGCACACATGTTTGAGGTGTGGAATATTGCAATATGTATAGATATTTCATATTTGACAGTGATTTATACCTAAAAACATCTATACAAACTCAATCAATTTGAGAGTTGTAAGGTTGAGGGAATGAAGCATGTTGCCTTATGCTGTTTTGCTCATTGCAAAGAAGTTTTTTTTTTGGACTATATCACCATGATACACTGGTTGATGCGCTGTTCTGATTTCTAAAACAGAGGTTGCGAAGTGAAATATACCTAACAATATTACGACGTGATTTTCACCCTGCAACAATTTGTCACTAACGTTTTTGCAGAGTATTTGATCTATCCCGTAATGATTTAATTGGGTGTTTTTTAGATTTGTGAGGTAATATTCACCTTGCAACTTGAAATTTTTTTTAATGTATTAGATAAATATTCAATAACCTAACTATTTAATAGAAACGGTTGCCAAAACCACTCGAACTATATAAAGTGTAGTTCATCTCATGCAAACGTAAGAATATGACTCGAGCATCATAGTGTTTGAAATTATAACTACCACCGTGTTTCTCTGCAATTGTCGTCTTCATTTCTAACGATCCACCACACATCTCTTGTAATATCTCACACTACGGTTTAAAGCATGATTAAAATTTATATAGCAACCTATTTAGAGTTGCTCAACTGATTACGTCAAATAATCTCATTAAAATTCTAATTACTCAATTATAAGAGAAAATCCTCCTCCCACTCCGACATAAGAACATGATTAATTCTCGATTTAGCTAGAAGTTCCATAATTCAAATTTTTCTTGTACTTTTTAAGAAAAATATTCTAAAATCAATATTTTTTAAAATAAATAACTCTTTTTTTTTACTGTGCAAAAACTTAAACTTGAAGTAAAAAACAAATACAAAAACATTTTATGTTTGTGACTGCGCAACGCGCGGACCACAATTTAGTTTAATATTAAAGATGAGACACTATGATCATTATACAAGAAAGTAAATAAGTTGAAATGGAGGGAAACAAATTATGTCTTGTACTTTGTGCAGGGAGATATGTGAAATTTGAAGATGGAAAAGAAGAACTTGACATCAAGTTCAACATTACATGCAATCGAAGAAGCTTATTCTCATCTTTCAGGTGTGGACACCTTAGTTCATCTTTCCTTTCAATCAAGTTCTTCATTTTGCCTTACAATCAGAAACAATGTCTACGAGGGGGATTTTCTTATAAGCATTGATCTTAGTTAGACTAGGTTCTCTAGTTACAACTTGCATGCTAAGAAATTTAGGAATTTTGATCAACTATGTAACTAATTTGCATGATGAATGTGGTATGTTGAAACACTAGGTTAGTTGACATGAGATTGTTGGAATTTTGTATGTCTAGTGAATTAAATCACATCCTTTTGTAAATTGAATCACAACCTTTTTTGAATCGATTTATACTATTTAAAATTCAATGCTGATTTGGTGATTCAACTCACAGAATTTTGTACATTGAATCATACAAAGGCAAAAATCCTAAAATAATATTTTGAGCCGATGAAACCCTAATTAGGTGTTCTAATCATATCCAAGACTTAGATAATGACCTTAAACCTAAAGATAAATAGTGGAAAGACATTATAAGACAAGATTTAAGAACATGTCTTATAACATAATGTTTGTGGTTTGCCAATGTATTTGGATGGTTGTGTGAGATGCACTAATTTATACATTATAAAGAGTATATATGCATATGATGTTGAGATACAAGTGTGAGTTGTAAGTCGCACATTACTTGAAAAAGTGGAGGTTGAACATTTTGTAAGTAAGATGATTTATACACCCAATGCCTTAAGATTTTGGACGAATATGTTATGTCTATCTCACTTGTGTTTCTTTTGACTCAATGTAGATGTTCCTCCTCGTGGCCCATCAGTGATATCAAAATCAATGATTCAATTAAGGGACCAACTCCTTATATCGAGAGTCTTCCCTACATGGTAGTGGTCAGACGGTGTATTCATTGAAGTGTCTATGACACAGGTTGTGTGAGATGCACTGATTTATACATTATAAGGAGTACTAATGTATATGGGATTGAGATACAAGTGTAGGTTGAAAATATTGTTTAGAAAAGTGGAGGTTGAACATTTTTTTAAGTGAGAAAATCTATATATCTAATGCCTTAAAGTTTTAGATGAATATTTGATGTCTCTCGATGTGAATGCTCCTTCTTATGATCTATGAGGTGGTTTGCCTATTACATGGACGCAGTTAATAATATTATATGAATTATAATTACCTTTGATTCTATTTCTTGAGTTAAACTAATGATGAGAGAATTAAAGACGTTAAGAGATGAGATTTTGAATAAGATAGATATTGGATAATCCTAGTGTATGTTTGGTTTGGCTTTTGGAAAGTTCAAAAGCAGTTCTAGAAGTGCATAATTGATTTTGGGTGATTTTAACATGTTTGGTTAAGCAAAAGTAGAATTGATTCTGTCTCCAGAATTGATTTTATTTAAAGCTAGAATTTGTAACTTTTGCCTCTAAAATTGATTATGGATGATTTTTACACTGAAATTTATTGTTCAACTCACTTTTACATAAATGTATCCAAACATAAGCCAATTATACTAAACTCAATTCTGATAAAATCAATTCTACCAAACTCAATTCTACTAGAATCAATTCTCATTCCACGTACTTTTACTTTATTTTACTGAACTAATTTATGATGGTAATGTCTACTTGTTCTATTCACTATAGTGAACAATTCAAGCGAGCTAAAACTTCTAACAGAACTAATTGTCCTTCAACCTATGACATACATAAAAAAAATTTAAGATTTCACTACTTTGAAAACATAGAGTATAAATCTTTATTCGTGGAATTGATATATTTTCTCTAAAGTTTTCTTCATAACAATTTTGTATAAAGCATGTAGCATAATTTGAAAGCCTCGTGAATAAAGGATGTTACTAAAACTAAAAGTGAAAGCATTGGTATAAATTTTCCAAATCAGTATACCATATAATTGTTACCATCAAATCAAACAGTTGAGAATGTTTTTTTGGAAAAGAATCTACATGAAAGATATTATATGCAAATGAAAGATGGCAATGGCAAACACATATAAGAAGTGGGGGCTGAAAATCATCTCATAAGTTTCTGAATTTTGTTGATTTATAATGAAAAAAGCTAATCTTTTTGCATCTAAAGCTAGAGGACTGACAGTAGAGAGTGATATACCATTGCTTTTGTTTATAAGCATGGATTCTTTATATGGAATAAAATAATGTATCAAGCTTCACACTTTAATTTTGTGCAGGAATCTTTATTATATGTTGCACATTTTGATTTTGGGTTTTCTGCATGCCTAAAGAAGCTTCTGTAGAACTCTGTATCCTCTGCATTTGAAGTTGGCATGTGAAAATCTTTATTTATGATCCTTTAATTCCAAAACTATACATTTACATGAATTGGTTAGATATCAACGGGACTGTTTTTGAGGGTTTGCAAGACAGACTACTGCACAGGATCCAAAATTTGACACGTTTAAGTTGTGACTAAAAAGAGTCTCACAAAATATTTATCAATTTTAAACCATGACCAAATTGAGCTCATATTTGATTTGTCACACTTAATCCGTAGTTAAGCTACACAGAACCTCTGAAAATTTAAGACATGAAAAACTTAAGATATTATCATATGCATATTAAATATAATCATCTAAAGAGACATAGTAATATAGTACTATGCAGTAATAAACCAAATAAAGGTTAAGATTTTCCACCTTGTGTGAATCTCACCTTTTATGGATTCGTACACTACAACTTTGTTAAGTGCTTCCCTACAGTAAAATGTGATTAATAATATTGTTCTGTCTTGGACTGGAATAATTAACACAAGAATGTACCATGTGTCATAGTCATAATTGGTTATTATGAGCTCCATTGCATGATTCTATACAAAGAACAGAACATATAGATTAGTTTTGGGTGTAAAAGCCACTAATCTAAATATGCTTACAGTACTAAAGTTCCACTTGGAAACATCATTCTGTAATAAGCTTCTTTCAGTTTACTTAATGTTTCATGTTGAGGTAAGTATCTAGTTAATTAACAATGTATCATTAAGATACTGCTGTTTAAAATATTCAATTAGACATATTGCTTAAGAAAAAGGATTCTCCATTGCATATGTAGAATTATGGTATAACAGTAGCACTACATTTCATGTCACTAGTATACAACATTTAAAGCACTATAAAAAAAAATGAATACTTTGGAGGCTGTTGCTGAATCTCAACATTTCCTATTACAATCAAATATCATACATTGCAATTAAAAAAATGGAAGGAAAAAAAAAGGTTTCAGTGTGGAAGAAATCTCATCATACAGAAAGTCTTGTATTTCAAAACCGAGAGTTTGGTTGACCCCTTCCAACTGCTACATAACCAGACATGGCGGCGGCCCTCCTTTTTTTCAGGTATACAAATGATCCGCTAATGAGCAACAAGAATATCACAATACCCTGTACAAAGTTTCCCATAAAATGTACATGTTAACATAAAATCTCTTTTATGGTTAAACAAGTAAACTGCAATGTATCGAAGAACTAATAAGACTACAGCAGTAGCAAAATCTCGAGCACTTCAGGGTACATTGATATCAGGATATGCGGTTGAAGTATTTTCATTTGCATTCTTTTTTTTTATTTTTAAATTTACGGATGAAATTAAAGCCCCTTGGAGATATGTCACTGAGAACTAGTCCTAATAAGTAGTAACACCAACAAACTACCGTAAGAGTATCATAAAGTAGAACGCTAGATCACAGAACAAGGACAATATACTGCATCCAATCTCCTTATGTCGTCGAAGAAGGAAAGATAGCTACTAAAATGGGATGAAGATTAAAACAAAGGTTTAAAGAAGTGGGACATCCTTAGAGATTTGAATATCTAGCCATCAGTGTAGTCAAGATCAAGTGCTAGATCGTAAGATTGTAAGATCTTTCAAGGTAAGGATGCCTAAAAGTGTTATGATTAGAGAAAGATCGTTTTCGTCGCCAGCATGGTCAAGATCGATATTTTTGAAGCAAGATCGGAAAAAAAACATGCAGGGCTTTTTATTTTTGTCTTTATTATGATTTCATGTTGTTGTGTATGTGTGTATGAAATTACTCTTTTTCCCTTCAGGTAGGAACTTACGTATCGTGCTAACTATTCGTGTTTTACAATCTTTCACAAGCCGATCGATCCTACTTAAGATCTCGTGCTTGACTACATTGAACACCATATTTGGATCAGTTATGTTTGATTTTCTCCCATCCTCTATACTTTTAACACTTAGTTTAGAGAAGTGGAAAATCATAGAGTTAGTGCATCGGGTAGTGGCACCATGCTTCCCTTGTTCCATTTTTCAAACATAAATGTTGATTATTAAATGATAATGTTGCGTCTAACTTATGAACACGACTGACATTTTGCAAGCTTTTTGCGAGAATTACCTTAGTGCTTAAGAGCCATGACCACATGGAAAAACTAAGCTCATGCAGATTAATGCAGCTTAGGATCTAAATAATAGAACTTTCCTTTGTTTCTTCACACTTTACCAACAAATATCCTCTGATTGACAGATGCTGATAAGTGAGAGTTTTTCCATCAGCTCAGCTCAAAAGATAGTGGTCATTATTTGTTTATGAGTAGTCAATAGTGGCCAATAGCGGCGGTATCCCACTACAGCGGAGCAAAACACTATAGTGGCCGCTATAGAGTAATTAGCAGGTAGCGGGGGCAGAGCAGTTCTCGGCCCGGAGCGGTTTCTGTCCTGTATCCTTTTCCCCTCTGAAAAACCGAAATAAACCCTAAAATTTAAAACGTATTAAGGGTAATTTTGGGGTTTTCAATCAAACTTGAGTTGAGAATCAAACCCTAACCTTCTTTCCCGGACGAAAAGAAAAATCAAAAGTTCTTCCCTCACCTCTCTCTGCATTTCGTTCTTCCCTTTGCACTTCATATGTTTATAATTATTATTCATGTAATTTATCCAAAAAATGATCAAATAGCGGTCGTCCCGCTATCCCATTTTTGGGGTCAGCCGCTCTGCGCCGTTATCCGGGATTAACTACTCTGGTTTATATATGAATATATCAATGTCACACCCGTGGTTTGCAATTAGACATTCTTCCTTGCGATTTAAAGAACCAAACACTAAATAGTGGCTGAAGCACAAGTTAATCCTCTAAGATGGACACATTAGTTCAAAAGAATAATACGCAACTAAATATTCAAGATATGATATGATTTCTCCATTTGATTAAGTTCAGAAGATAATAAATGAATATAACAATAAATCTGAGCTAGTAACTAAAAATTACCTCAAAACCAAGCACTGATAACTTCTCTTCGGAATCTGCGGGTATACAGCTTCTATAAGTGACATAAGCCTGTGACTGATTATTTGAAGCCAATGAATCATCCAGTAAAGTTCTATGTGGCCACGAAGTTGTTACCACTCCAGAAACATGTGAAACTTTACGAGACTTTGCAATACTACTAGAGATTTCTAAAGCAGTCCGAGTTTTCTTAGGATTTGTTTTCTTAGCATCCTTTGTTGAGCCTTTACTCTCTTCACATTTGAATGGAATTCGATACCCTGTCTCACTGCAGCGATATTTCTCATCACCCTACAAACTCCCCCGAGAAAGCTTGTAGTTAACAATTAAGTAAAGAAGGACCCAAGCATACACACAATACAACCAAGAGATCCTAAACGTAGACATAAAAGCAATGTTTCAAAGCCAAACCAGACAGTTTAACTAGTCGAATTCTGAACCAGCATTGTCCACAATTGGTCATTTGAGAGATTTAATCGCGGATAAGGTTATCCAAACACATTTATAGATCTAACGGTTCGGAAACCTTATCAAACTCAAAACCCTAGTTATGAATAACTCTAACTTTAAAAAATGAAAAAAGGAATCACCTTCTCTGAGTAGATGCAGGGAACACAAGGACCAGAAGGAGCACAATCAAAGGTAAAGTTACTTCCAGCGGGTTTTTCTTTCAAACTCATAAGAACTCTGTGCCCAAACCCATGTGCGTGGTGAGAATCTTCGCTGTTCCCAATTCAAATAACAAGAAAAAGATTATAAATTTGAAGTAAAAGAGATCAAATCAAATTGAATAGATCATGAACCATGGTAATCAGAAAGAGAGATTAGAGCTTACGTTTGTTGACCTAAAACGTGAAATAGAAAATTGGCGAAGAAGATGAACAATAGTGGGACAAAAAATGGTGAATTTGATGAATACATTGCTTTCTTCAGAGATTTTCACCTCTCTTCTCCAAAACTCTCCCTGGCATTTTCTGTTTCTTATTATTTTTTATTTTTAAAATACTAAATTTATATGAAATCCGTGTAATTTAATATTGTTTATTTTAAATTCTATATCTATATTTTTAAAATATCAAAGCAAATATATTTAAATATTATTTAAAAAAAATAGGAATTAGACTTTTGAATCATTTTTTTTTTTTGAAAAAATGTACACCGAGCAAAACTCTTTTTTCGATTGGGCTAAAATGATTAGACAATTTAGGTCCATGTTGATTGAATTGTTTGATAATTTAGGTCCACGTTGATTATGTTGTTTTGGTTAGAGGTTTTAACTTCTTCTCCCACTTGAACTTGGCTCCTCTAAAGTGGATGAAAAGACCAAAATAGTTCGATTAAGATTTTTTATATATTTTTGAAACTTTTGGTATTATATCAAAAATTTCAAATTTACACGGCGATATCGGAGATTTCGTGAGTATATTGGAAATTTCGTGAAAGAGTAAGAATTTATGGTATTTTATGCCAAAATTCTAGTATTTTATCACGAAAATTTAGAAATTTCAGCTATTTCGTGCTAGAAATTTGTAAAATTCTGATGATTTTGTTATGTTATACACCAGAAATTTTTAAATTTTCGGGTGTTTACTTTGTATTGAAAATTTGTAAATTTCTGATAGTTCATTTTTTAAAAAATATATTAGAAATTTAGAAATTTCCGGTAGTTCAATCTTTTTTTAAAATTATTTTCTTTATTTGTTTCAGTGAGGATCAGGGTAAAAGATGGTACCGTTGCGAGCAGGCAGACTGATCGAGCGGAAGCTTAGATCCGAGCTGATGAGGCACGAGCTTTCGAGCTACGTGCAGGACGACATCCTCTGACCGATTCTCATCAAAAATGGTTAGCTGAGCTGCAAGCACAGTTCCGCACACCCCGTCGACGGTGTAACACCCAATATTTAATTAATTATTTAATTAAATATTTTCGAATATTTTTTCGATTAAATTTTCGAAGTTGTGAAATGTTGATTTAAGTTGTGTCGTTCTTAGTTGAATTAATTAGTTGATTAAATTGTAGGATTGATATTGAATAATACTACTATTATTTATGTGGACCTATTTTAATGTTAGAAGTAGTAAAAAGGGAGGTGTAGGAATTTCAGCCCAATAAGAATAATAGTATAGTAGTTATATTATTATATTAGTTATTTTAGAGATAATAGAAGTAGAAGTAGCACTAAGAGGAATAGGTTTTTGCAAAAGAGAAAATAAGGGTTTTGGAAGAGATACGTAGAAGTGCAAAGAGGAGGCATATTTAGGTGCAATTGGAGAGTTAAAGCAACCTTTAATCTAAGGTAAGGATGATGTTGTGACTCTATAATAGGGTATGTGATGAATGGTATGTGGGATTGAGTTGTAAAATTGTTTCTGTTTGTGTTTGAAATTGATATATTGTTGAAATTGAGAGATGATTGAGAACCCAATTTAATTTATATATAAGTACTTTAGCACTATTTTTTTCAATTCCATATGCATATATGTTGCATTGTTCCTATAGCGGAATGATATAAGTGTCTATATTACTTGGCATACTGTAGCGAAAGAACACTGGTGCTATATGCTTGGATACTCTAGCGTCAATAGAGTAGTAGTATATAATTTAATAGATTAAGTATCATACTTTATCGAAAATTGAGAGATAGGATTACAAAATGTTAACGCATGTTTGGTCAAGAAACAAAATGAAAATGTGTTAATTCTAGTACTCTAGAGAGAGATGAAATGCAAGTGCTATGTATATATATTCTCCATCTATGTAGCGTGAATCACTTAATGAAGAATAAGTTTCAATTACTATTATAATTTTTTATTAGTATATTAATAATAATACTGATTAATATTGTTAGTATAATTTTTAGAAGTTTTTAGTTAGAGTCGATTGAGTTGTCAATAGAATTGTTAGAATTGTTAATAATATTGTTAAAGTTATCAATAGAGTTGTTCTGTATTATTAAAAGCCACTTTTATTTGTTTTGCGTAATTCCAACATGTTTAGAATTGTCAATGTAAGATATCGGTGTGGTGTGTTATATACTAGTTAAAATTGTGAATTAAATTATAATACAAAATAACCCTTAGAATAGGAGTGATATTTATTTATTGTTTAGCTATCAAAAATTGAGTCCACTTATACCAACCAGTATTAACATGTTATAACTTAATTATGTGTTTCGTTATAATTGCCATGCTATTCAATATTTTATTAATTGATTTGGTAATATTATCATGATGCTGTCAGACTGTAATTTAAAATATGAGTTACACGTGGTAGCAACTAAGATTCAAATTGAGAATGACAAATTTAGGTGCTGTAGCGACACACCCACCGTAACAACACATATTGTGTTTGTATGTGTTAAACTAAAGAAAATCTATTTTCAAGTTTATAATATATAATATTTCATTGTATAATTAATGATAATAATAATTTAGTATTATTAGTATAATAATATTGTAAAAATTTTGTAATTAGAAATAAGTATTTAGATAATTAATTAATCAGAAATAGTCGTAATTGTTCGAATAATTACGCGGTTTATTTGTAGTAAATTTTGGTTGACTCGTTGTATTGTATTCTTTATTGAAAAATGTGAAATTACAGGTGATGTTGTATCTTATCGAATTGCCTCTATTTATGGGCAAAATATAAGTTGTAGGCCTATGGCCAATGCTGATTTGTTGTTGTGTTGTTATGTAACTATTATTGTCGTTATCCTGACATTCATATTGTATCGTATACATAGCATATCGAGTTGGAGCTGATACTCGGTAAGTTGGCCTGAATTGGAAAATTAAGTTGAAAGCTTACGCCTTGTTGACGCCTCTATTAATTGGCATATTTTTAAGTTGGGAGTTTTGCTCCAATGGTACCACATGCATGTGCATTGTAACGAGTCACATTCCGTGTGACATATTTAAGTTGTTGTGTTATTGACTTGTGATGATTGATGTTGGTTGAAAGTTGTGAATGGTGATTTTATATAATTCGATCTAATATATTGTTTATCATACACTCAATTATATGGTTCGATATCTCACCCTTTCTGTTTGAATATTGTCCTCTCTTCGTAACGTACAGGTAATCAAGAAGGATAGTTGTTACCTTCATTAGTATGAGCCGGTGTTGTCGCTCTGATACGTAGCACTCGAGGGATGAACGCATGTTTTCTTTATTGTTGGTTTTCATTATGTTGCTTAATTTTTAAGTTGTTTTCATTAAAGACTTGTTGTCTTAAAGTTGTTTTGAGTTGGACAAGATGTCATGGTATTTTCAGTTGAATTTTGTGAATCCGCTGCATAGTAATGAAAGTTGTTTTATTTTTAAAGACTCAGCAGGTTGTTATTGCTTCACCCAAAATATTGTGTTATGTATCTGATTTATAGGTGATTGACTGTGGTTGTTTTAAGTTGAAAGTGTAATATTTCATATGTTGTTGGAAATTTTGAAACTTTGATTTTATATAATTCATTGGGTAGACATGGGGTGTTACAGACGGACTGCTAGAGTTTCTACAGTCGAGGAGGTACATGATCCTGTGGAGGTACCTGCTCCTATGGAGGCACCCGCTCCTGTGGATGTGTCTGCTTCTATGGATGAGAATGTTATGGTGGAGTCGACTATTGAGGAGGTTGTTTTGGATGAGTCGGCGACTGAGGAGGTTGTGGCTGCTGAGCAGGTTGTTGTTGAGAAGGTTGATGAGGTGTCTCCCATTGATACAGACATTATGACTCGTATGTCTACAGAGCCATCAGTTCACATTGATTGAGGCTTTCCATGAGGACCTTCAGACATGTCTGTGCTGATAGGATTTTCTGAGCATGTCACATACATGATATGGCAGGGCGAGGTATATATTTTATTTTCTTTTTTATTGCAAATTTTTTATAACGGCTTGATGTGTAATATACTCCCTCTGTCCCAAAATAAGTGTAACATTTAGAAAAAAAGTTATCCCAAATACTTGTCACTTTAGATTATCAATGTAATTTATATTTAATCTTTCAATTGTACCCTCTAATAAATACTCTTAATTTATTGTTTTCTCATTTAACATTAATACTAATTTAAATACACCAACAATTAATCAGGATAATTTAGTAAAGTCATTATTCTCTCTCTTTCATTTATTATTGTTTCTTAATTTGTGTGAAATGGTCAATTGTAACAAATAATATGGGACAAAGGGAGTACTTTATCTTTTATAGAAGCGTGCGGTGCTGAAGGTCGCATCTCATGGTTTGAAGTTGAAGAACTTCCCAGAGGGTGGTGACATGCCTGAGGAGGTCAGACGTATCGTGAGAGATTTTCATCTGCTGGAGTTCGCTCAGTGCTCCTTGACCATGTTCGACGCCTCCCTTCTATCAGCTTTTAATGAGAGGTGGAACCTAGAGACATCATCTTTTCATCTTCCATTTGGAGAGATGACCATCACATTGGATGATGTCGACGCCTTGTTTCACAGGTATGAGGCTGCCGCTAAGGCGTACATGCTACATCTGATGGCATGTACTCTCTTTGCAGACAAGTCTGGTGTTTACTTTGATGTTCGCTACTTGTCTATATGTCGTAACCGACAAAAAATAAAGAGTCACCACCATTAATTTTTATCCTAAGGATGGAAATAACAGGAAACCCTAATTTTGTCAGAGATTCTAAATTCGTGAGTCAGTTAAATGAATGGAAGGTGTTAGGCACCCTTCATCTCCCCTTGTTCTCAAGGGGGCTCCTCTTTTAGGTTTAAGGGTAAAATGGGAATTTCTACTTAGTTGTGTTGTTTCCATATGTTTAAGAAGAAAAAAATTAATTTTTTTTAGCTGGACTCGCCTTGGTTTTTAAGACGCGTGCCTACGTATCTCCTTATGAAGAATCAGAGTCCAATTTCGTAGTTCGAATGTGTTTGGTTAGTTTTTTTATGGAT